TGAAATTTTATCAGGCTATTTGATATGTTAGAGGGACACCAAGAACATAGTGACAAGAGTATGCATTCAGACATGCAGACGGGCTAAGGAAAACTGTATTCAGTTAATTAAATAAAACTGGGAGGACAAAACTATGCAGCATTGTAACAAACATCTAGAAAACTTGTTTTTTTCATATTGTTTCTTTTGATTTTTATCCCGAACTCCCCACCATCCTTTGGGATAGTCCTTAGCAAGAACATTCCTTCTTTTTCAAATTCATCAAGGCACTGCTCTTGGATCCTGTTTCCTCTTTGAACCCAGAGACTCAAGCTTTTACTGAGAGTGATGAAGCAACATCTGCAAGGGTTATGAGTGGTAGATAATGGTAGATATAGGTAGATAATGCACATAATTCCTTTTAAGAGGAGAACCGGAAGCATTTTACCGTGAAACGAAGGAACAGCAGGGAAAGCGGCATGTTTTTGCCTGGGGCTATGAGAGGCAAAGCAGTTGGATATATTATCTGCTATGTTTAAGCTTCAGATTGCAATGGATACTAATTTCTTGCGAGTTTGTGCCTTCCATTTAATGTGATGAACCAGAATAATAAAGCCCCCCCTTGCTTAACCTTCCCCCCGGTTGTCGAATCTGAGACTAGAAAAGACTTTTCTTGAACGAGAAATCAGAGGAATGGGCTATGACTAATTCTCTCTTCTGTTTACAGAATGGAAATACTGTCATTTTCGGTAGCAACAATAACATCCTAATGATGGGTTTTTTTTGGCTGCATCTGCCCTCTGTGACCAAGGATCCAACAGGACTTGCCACTGTTAAGTCACTGGAGGCTCCCGTTCTTAGTACGAACAGGGGGAAAAGAACAACAAAAGTCTTCTGCCCTGCAGCATTTGATTAAGTCCACTACACAGCAGTTTTGTTTTCTAAAGCAGCACTGGGCTTTCGGAGGAAGGGAGAGGGCTCGAGGAGCAGATTGTGTTGTCTCTGTGGTAGCTTATTGTCACTTTGAGAGTTGGCAGGATCCTTGATTGCTGTGCGGCACTGTATGAAATAGCTTTTACAGAGAGCTGTCCTTGTATTCAGGATTCCTTTTTCCCCCCTGCGATATGTTTGCATTTTTCAGTATATTGTGTATTTGAAAAGCAATGAAAGATCCACCTGCCGTATGTCCACAGACCGTTTCTGACAGTGATCAAAGTGTATGTAAATCTGTGAGTATTGCATCACCAAAGCTTTTTCTCTTCTAGCTCTTAGAAATAAGGATTAGGTTCCTATCTGAAGCCCTAAGAAGTAAACCTGTCTTACTGCTTCCTCTTGCATTGGGGCATACATTTGATCTGACTGATTTTAATTAGCTACTGTGGTCCCAGAGAGTGCTGTACAGCCCAAAGCACCTCAAATAATAGCAAGAGAACAATGAACCATCTGCCTACACAATTCTGTCCTTTTTGGACACTGCCTCTTGTTAACCCAAATCAAAGCCAGCCTCTGTAACACATGTGGATATAATAGATCCAGAAGAACTTGCATGCTTGGGGCTAGTGTCATTGCTCTTGTGTTGTCCCCTGTTTTTAGACAGCAGTGCAGCAGAGTATGCAGCTGTTATATGTTCAGTCATAATTTCCAAAGGCATTGGTAGAACTTCTTACAAATTGCAGTTTTCCTACTAATTTCTCATTGGTCTTCTCCAGTCTCTACGTTCATACATGTTCACCCTTCCTCAGTTACTGTCTAGTTTGGAACAGAGTTCCTATTGCTTGTGATCTCTTGAAATTTCCTCCTCTCTTTTTTATGTTGTTTCAGCCTTAGAACTATAGAGTTGCAATGGACAGAGCGTTTCCAGTGATAGCAAAGGGACTAAGGCAGTTCACATGTTTCCTGCAGCCTGGTCTCCCTAGGTTATTCCCTTCCCTGCAGTCAGTGGCAGGCAAAAATTAAATAAAAGTTCTCTGAGCTCTCAAAATGACAGGTGCAATGTATTGTTACTCCTTGACCGGTGTTTAAAAGCCATGAGAGGCACAAATGAAAGGAAGTGAATTTAATCCCTCTCTTGAACAAATGATTTATCCGATTGACAAAAATCACAGTTGTTCCCATAATTTGCAAATCACTCCGATGACAGCTTTGCAAATTCCTCCCCTTTTTAGTAAGCAAAGGC